GGGAATGATGGAAGATCGCCCCAGGGAGCTGTCCATGCTTCCCCGACGTCTCAGCAGCTCTCAGACGAACCTCTCTAATGTCTCCGGCCCTGCCCTCTCCCGGCCTCAGCGCCATCACTCTGGGTCCTCGTCTCCGCGGCGTCTCAGCGGAAATGTCACTCCCGACATGCTGCCCCGCAAGAAGTCCATCAACGAACTCACGCCCAACATGCTGTCTCGCCTCTCGGTTTTCGAGCAGCAGGAGGAAGCTGGGGACTGGAGCGGAGGAGCTGGTCTCGAGGATGCCAGGCCGCGGGGTTTTCGGAGGTCAAGCAGGGACGGCGTGCACGGAGGTCGCAGGTCTTCGAAGGGGGAGGTTTACAAAAAGGAACGTCACAGGTTGACAAAAGAAGAAATGGATCATAGAGTGGATCGAGGAAGTTCCGCGAGAGACGCTCGTGGAATGCCAATCCGGGAGGAAAGTTTGGAACGTCGCAAGTCGTCGGGGAAGGAATATGCAGAGAGTTATGCAGAAAGTACGCCCGATTCGGAACAAAATCAGCCTCAGAAATCCATTGGCACCAAAGTCTTCGATTATCTCGTGCGCAGATTCAGCAGCACAGAAGAAAGTGTCTCTCGAGATGCGTCTGCTGTCAGGCCCCCCGCTTACGCCACGCAAGACGACAGCGTTATGGAATTGGAAAGCCAAACCTCAGAGAAGGATGAAGACGGCCTGAGCATCGAGGAGCATCTGAGCTCGACTGGATACGGTACAGATGCTCATATCCTCGACTCGACTTCTTATGAAACACATGACTACTTCTATGAAGAGAAGGACAGTGAAGTATATGCTCTAAACGACGAACAGGTTTCACTTACCGATTCAACCGAAATGCTAGAACATAGAGAAAACAGAAAGAAGACAATTGATTCAGAAGTCTTTGGTTTCGTTGTTCGGAGACTTAATGACGAACAAATGTCTAATACTGATACTGAATCAGAAGGACTAATAGACTTCGAAGATGAAGATGACGTACTTAGTAGATCGGCTAAAGTCACTTCATATTACGAAAGCACCCTGAGGCAAAAGGAAAAGGAAAAGGAGACCGCAAAAAGACTCGCTATAATTCAAGATGAGAATGGAAGGATTCTGCCAACGATCGAAATAGAGGAGGCCGATCAGCACGACGTGCCCGATATCAAGATCAGGGCAGCGGGTCACAAGAAGAAGAAAACGTCCATGGCCAAGGGCATCCTGAATTACCTATTCCGGAATCGGATATCCGACCTCGATGCCTCGCCAATCAGTAAAGCCTCGCCCGTTGAATCTCGTGTCCTGGAAAGCCCCTCCTCGAAGGCGGAAGAGGCCGTCCGCGATTTCCTTGCCGAGAGCTGCGTCGCAAATCCTTCTGAGGCCAGCGAGGGTGGCGCCGTGGAAGCGGCCGAGGTCCCTCCTGCGTTTGATGGCCACGATGAAGACTTCAGGAAAGAATCTGATTTAGTACCAAGCACGACAGAGGAGGGTAGTGTTCTATCAAGCGAATCTCTCCCTATGCGGCTCTTGAAGTGGACTTTCGGCATGACATCCAAAGATGACCCAGACACTCCTAATGATCCAGAGAGGTCGCCAGCGAACTCAGACCAGCCATCTGACAACCCCGAAGGAACTGGAGAAAAGTTCATAAGCGAAATCATTCCCGAAGAGGCAGAGGGATCTGTGGATGAAGATGACGAAACCTTGGCTCAGAAGCCTGACGAGAATGACAATTTCTTGGAGCAGAATCAATCTGACGACAGAGACTTGGTGATCCTTATAGTGTCGCTGCTTCTTGTCGTTTATATCTTGACATTATAAGCGATGTCACAATCCTTCAGTCTACTTGGACCTGAAGCACAATCGGCAATGAAGGCTGACAACGCTACAAAAGCACATTTGTTCATACATATTTTAGGTGAATCAATGTACCGTTTGTTCTATTTTATGTGCTATTCATCAAACTATATCACATCGCATTTTTTACAGACTAATATAACATTCCATGTATTCTATATTCTATATATCATAATCATATGTAATCATAGCCCAGATGATTCCTAACTTTTGTTTGTGATAGTGTCGGTAGAGTGGCCTATAATTACATACATCCACATAACCTGTCACCTTATTTTACACAGTCCATCTAATATAATTTACACTGTTCATTTATCTAATATAATCTACATCCACAATCACTATGTTCTTTTCTAATATTGTATTATCATGTTTATCTAACCCAGCAATATATATCACTGCCCTCGTAATATAAACTCCAAATGTCCTGATAATTAGTACAGCACCTCATGAAAATGCATTTCATGGAGCACATTTGCATTTCCTAAGTTTATATGAGGAAGTATATTAGTGCTTCAATTATCTTTACACTCTAACGAGGCAATTATGTATCTCTTTATGTATGAATATCATTACTTGTAAGTGTGAAGTATTCAAATGACCAGTAATAATACTCCAATCAGAAAAGTTTTACGTATTATCAATTTACCGTTTTAGGCCTATTGCATACAGTCAGTAAGCTATAAATACGCATGTTTACATACATAAACAGAGGAGCTGCAATTGATACGTGCAACGCCCCCACCCCCCCTAAAATCCTGGATACCTGTCTGCATGCATACAAAATGCACGACACATATGCGTGTGTTTGTGTGTGCTAGTGAGTGAGTGAGTGAGTGAGTGAGTGAGTGAGTGAGTGAGTCAGTGAGTGAGTGTGTGTGTGTGTGTGTGTGTGTGTGTCAACATCCCAAAACCCTAATAGCTCGTGTAGCAAAATGGGAGATATAAAGCTTTGAAAAACGAAAAGTAATTCCTCTGTTTCATATAAAAAAAATAGATAAAAAAACACTAAAGTACTTAATATGCTCACTGTTTAAAGCAAAACATTATGGAAGCTAAATAAATAAATAAACAATTTTTAAAAGTACCTGACTGCCCTGCGACTCACTTTGTTTATATTTTGCATACCACTTTTCGCTTCGCCAGGCTATGGAAACTTTCAAATATATTTCTTAGATTCGGACATTTTTCCCCTTTCACATACACTGTTCTTTATATGGAAAGTAGCATGTTTGAAATTTTGCATCTAATTATATCCACTGAGTTACTTCCATGTTTACATTGAGTCCGAATCTCATTTAACTGGATAATGCTAGTGATCACAGGCATTTAATTGTATTAATGATGGTAATTTATCCACAAATCAAGATGTCTTTTCTTTGATATTTTTTGAGTCGATAAGGTTATATCAAAGCGGTGTAGTCACTGGAATTTGCATCCCTGCCATTCGGTGGTGATGAAGTAGCAATACAAAGACGTCTGTATCATCAAAATCAAAGCGATTTCGCGGGCCTGTTTAGCACAGGGCAGGGTCTGATGGATAATAATGATGTCGACCTCTTCATGTTGGGTATCCAGATCAAACGCGCTTCACTTTTCTTCCATGCTGACTTCCTTAGAGCAAGGATCCTCTCTGGTCACAACCTCAGTCTTTTAACATTGCCTATCCAATCACGACGGCATTTTCAACACTTACAGTTCCGGTGCTAGGTTTTCCCTGACCATGTTGACAAGACTCCCTTCATGATGGTCCTTGGGATTCATGGGATCGATGCATGTCTCAATACAATGGAAGCCATCATTCCTTCATGAACATCGCCAACCCCGCAAGCCAAACATTTGAGGGTGAAGGGTTAATTGGCAAATACTTTGATCGTAAAATGATTCTGATATTCTCTTCAACATGAATTATAGCAGAATTTCAGGTTTGTTCAGTATACTTTGCTGAAAAAATACGAAACTGAAATATTTCAAAATTCGGCTGTTTCTGATAGAAAGGGGTTCATGAGTTGCCCAACAGATATCAACTGACAAGGATGCCCTAGACTAAAAAAAAAAAAAAAAAAAAAAAAGTTATCAACACTTACAGTTCCGGTGCTATGAACAAATTTTAATGAGATTTTTACCACAGGTGTGCCTTAGCCTAACTTATTTTCCATAAAAAATTTGGTGGTGATCCGGATCATTTGGCAAACCTCCCCCCATTTGGGGGAGGGGTGTTGTATGCTCAAAACATTTTGTTGAAGGATGAAACTGGCGAAATATGATTCAGACAAAAATAAAGCAAAATACTCCATGTGGACAGCATATTCTTTTTGGTTGGTAAACAAAAATTCTTCGATATTATTTACTGAACACTTTCCTTTTTTTCTTTTCTTTTTTCTTAGATTATTCCTAAAAAAAATGAAGGTTGATCTCATGCTATGTGAAATTTTATAGCTGAAAATCCGATTTTCTAAGATTGTGTGAAAAATCCTAATTTTTCGGTGGATATCGAAAGTGGCTGCTACTACCCTAAAGTTAGGGGTGGGGGGGGGGGGGCTTTAAAAAATTCTTGGGGGAAATTAGGAGGCCCTGAAACTCTGGAAATGCATACAACTCAAAATCGGAAGATTGGAAAAAAAGGTAGATCCCCTTAACAATAATAATAATAATGATAATAAAAAACAATAATAATAACAATAAAGAAAATAATAATTATTATAACTAATAAATAATGATAATAACTGATAAATAATAAATAATAGATAATACCTAATAATAATAATAACTAATAAATAATAGTAAGAACAAATATTAATTACTAATAATAATCATACTAAAGTTTAAAACTAAGTCATAATTCTCAGACGCTACCATGTAACTTGTTAACAATAAAATATATACAACTAGACTGATGACTTAAATCGGGCAATGAAGGTTGAATATAATGAATGAATGGTGGTATATTCTCTTCGTCGCTCATTTTCGGGACACAATAAAAATTTTCTGATGCACAATTCACGCCCAACAAGTACCATTTATTCTCACACAATACACATTTCACGAACACGGACCAGAGGTAGACAGCTGATGACGTCACTGGTTCCGTTTCAGAATTGGCTCTAGCAGGTTTGTGTGTGTGTGTGTGTGTGTGTGTGTGTGTGTGTGTGTGTGTGTGTGTGTGTGTGTGTGTGTGTGTGTGTGTGTGTGTGTGTGTGTGTGTGTGTGTGTGTGTGTGTGTGTGTGTGTGTGTGTGTGTGTGTGTGTGTGTGTGTGTGTGTGTGTGTGTGTGTGTGTGTGTGTGTGTAGAATGAGCAATTCCAAACGGCAGCAATAATAAACGTATAGATTTTTATACATCTTACTCATTTCTTGATGAATTTCGGGACCAACAAGAAACAAATTCACCTTAAAATTACACCACTATTTACATAGTGGTTACTTTCCAAAAGACAAGGATGAAAGACTACTACTTGTCCACAGAATATACCTTGTCCACTTATTAAGGTCTACATCGTATACCTTGGCGAGGGGCGTGACTTTTTGGTTCTTTCCAAGCCGGTTCAAGATAACAGTCGTTGGTGACTAATAGCGAGTATCATGTTGAAAATTTGCTAAAGTGATTATGACATGAATATTCAATATTAAAACCAGCTGAATTCGCCATTCTGTAAATAAGCAATGGTGTGTGTGTGTGTGTGTGTGTGTGTGTGTGTGTGTGTGTGTGTGTGTGTGTGTGTGTGTGTGTGTGTGTGTGTGTGTGTGTGTGTGTGTGTGAGAGAGAGAGAGAGAGAGAGAGAGAGAGAGAGAGAGAGAGAGAGAGAGAGAGAGAGAGAGAGAGAGAGAGAGAGAGAGAGTGTGTGTGTGTGAGTGTGTGTGTGTGTGTGTGTGTGTGTGTGTGTGTGTGTGTGTGTGTGTGTGTGTGTGTGTGTGTGTGTGTAATGCGTACATGTGGAAATACGTCTAAGCGTAGTAAAACCTGCATATAATGGCAAAGAAATTTGAAAAAATGAAAGGTGCAACTGCAGTGAAGAGGAAAAACAAGGCAAAAAATATGTACGTGTTTCTATAAACCTAGAAAAACACCAACACTATGCCTAATAAAATACGGAAAGGCAAGTGCAGTTCAGCCACGTGTCATCCATGACTTGCAAGACGTCGTAAGACCAAGAGAAACGTCAAGCACATAAATTTATATTCCACGAAAGTAAACGTCTTTAATACGAAACAGACACGAGTGACACATTTTCTCAGCTTGTGGGTGTGATTTTGACCTCGAGTTAAGGGTTTGGGTGTGCAACGCGAGTTCGAGGTTTTGACTTTGGCTTTGGCGTGCTACATCAACCAATATCTATTTCTTTATTCCTTTTTTTATCATTATTATTATTGGTTCGGAGGTGATAGTGGGTGTGGCCTGAAGAGTTGGGGGGAGGAGTCGAGGGTCACTAGAAAATGAGAAACAAGGTCATTCAGAGGGCAATACGGTAATTAGTGAGTCTGGTTTGAATATAAGTTATTAAAATTGCAGCCTCATAGATTTCTTGAATTATGAGAAGTGTGTGTAAGGGGGAGTCATGAATATAAATCTACATCAGCATTTACAATTAATTCTACCTCTACATCTATACCTACATCGACACACCAAATCTATATTTACACCTACATCCACATTCACATTACCTACATCATCCACACCCACACTTATCACGTCCACCGCCACCTCCAACACGCCCGTATTAGTTGACGTTGAGACGCCTTGCAAAGTTATCAATTTCAACTCGACTTCGCTTGCTTTGATATTCTAATATTCTGTGCTTGGTCTTTGCATTTATTGCTGTAATGATTTGATGTTTACTGTTTCAAGTTTTTTTCGTTTCTTCTTCTACTTAAATTTCTGGTGTGTGTGTGTGTGTACATCATATATGTGTGTATGTAAATATGTGTGAATTTGTGTATGTAAATATTGTGTATGATATATATATATATGTGTATATGTAAATTTGTGTATTTGTGTATATGTATGAGTATGTTTTTTCCTTATCCTTTTTTTCGAGTAATTATGTACTTCTGTACATATTTACAAACAGATTTTCATCCTGTTTCTTTTTTCCCCTTTTCTCTTTTTATTATAACTCATAGTCCTCTTTCTTAAATCAGTTTATTTACTAATGTCTACATATTCAATCGTCTTTTTTCAGTTCTAATTTCTCTTCTTCCACTTTTTTATATGCATAACGCCATTTAGCTCTATCTTTATTTCTACCTCTCCACTTCAACCAATAACTATGAAGCTATGAAGATTGTGTACTGATCTTTTTCTTTCTCTTTTAAACTTTAGTTGTTGTAATGCCATAAACTCTACTCTTGTCACTTTTCCCATTTATGTGAGTGTTTATGGAACTAAGAACCTTATCTTGTCACCCTTTTCCTAAACCTCCAAAAAATTTACATATATATAAACTATCACTATACTAAGAGACAAGGAAGAAAGTTTTCAATATCTACAATCCTGCCAAATTATAATATATATCTTAAAACTAATTTGGATGTAGTTTTATACTAAGAAAGGAAACAGTTCATACAAAATCGTGTTTTATAAATTCAATGTCATTTTTCTCAAGAATCAAGGAAGTGTAAGATATTTACAA